TCTGCAATTGCGGAAACCAAAAGCGGGGCGGCGGGGTGGTGGGGCAGAAAGGCAGGAGCCGATCCGGTCTTTTTCCCCCACTGGGAGGCTTCTCCCAAAGTGCTGCGCCTGATGGTGGGGGAGAAAGACTGGATCGGCTCCTGCCTTTCTGCCCCGCCACCCAGCTGCTCCCAACATCACTAAGCGAAAATCGCCCATAGGGAACATCCAAAAAAGCCATCGCTAAGTGAATTCATTAAACGAAGCAATCGTTAAGCGAGGCACCACTGTACGTCTTCCATCAGTGCAGATCATGATGACACTGACTTAACTCAGAAGAGATGAAACATGAGTTGATGGGAATCAAAGAACATCTATGCTAGATCTGTCATTAAAATGCTGGCATTTTCAGACCTACTGTATGTAGCTACTTGTTGAAGTACTGTTAATCTGAATATTCAACTTGCATATACAGTGGTACCTCGCATTACGTTAATTCGTTCCAGCGAAATCGCTATCTTACGAAAACGTCATAATGCGAAATTAAAAAGTCCATAGAAACGCATTAAAACCCAATTAATGCGTTCCTAGGGGCTTGAAACTCACCGTCCAGCGAAGATCCTCCATAGGTGGCAATTTTTGCTGCCTGTGCAGCGAGGAATCCGTCCCAGAAAAGAGCGGGGAGCCATGTTTTTTACCTGGTGGCCATTTTGAAACCACCGATCAGCTAGCCGAAAATCATCGCTTTGCGAGAATCGGTTCCCAAAGCAGGGAACCGATCATCGCAAAGCGAAATTCCCCCATAGGAAACATTGTTTTGCGATCGCTTTTGCGATCACAAAACCTTCAACGTAAAGCAATTTCATTGTAAAACGGAGCGCTCATAATGCGAGGCACCACTGTACTGCTACATATTCCTGGAATATTTAAGGATAAGGAAAACCTAAGAAAACTAAGCAGCCAGCTGTGGGATAACATTCTCATATAGCCTGCTGACCTTTTTGTTTGTCTGGGAGTCTATAAAGCTTCTACATTAATAGAATTAAGAGAGCATCAAAAGTATCATTTTTTATGTCCCGCATCTACAAATGTTTCTCATCACATACACTTCTGCTATTGTGTCTGATATACTGTATTCAAAACTACTGTTTGTGGATTCAGGGAAAGCAGTCAGGAATTATTTAATCTAGAAGAGACTCTTAGACTGTCAGCATAAATGTATTATTGCACCCCTATAAGGAGTTTCTTTAGCAGATCTCATAGTTCCTTGGAACATGTTTAGTGGAATAACATGAATATGGTCAATAGAATAGATCAGAGTTGGAAATCTGACTCTCAAACTCCACATACATAATCTTGAAGATGGTTTTGATGACCACAGCACCTCTTCTGT